TGCCACAACAAATCAGGGTAAATGCAGAGCAGTGGAGATGAAATGGTCTGGGCTTTATGACTAGCCCTTACTTGGCTGAGGTTGGATGGCTTCTGGAGGATGTTGTTCTTTGATTCTTGGATGCTACAGGATAAGCACCGAGATATGCAGTTAGGAGTGATATATAGATACTGGTGCAGATACTGGTATAGGTACTGGGCATTCTTCTCCATGTGGGAGAGAAAGGGCTGTGCTAGTGCTAGTGAAACCATGTTGATGTGAACTCAATTGAAGAGCCATTCCTCTAACCAACAAGAAGATAGGGCTAACTGGTACCTGGCTGAATGCAGTGGCTATAACTTCCTTAGTTTCAGAAGGGCACTCCTGATTTTACTTTTGGGCAAGTGAAGAGAATCAGACCTGATATACTCAAGTAGGTAGAAAAGGTGAAAGAGGTTGAAATTGAAGTTAAGCATTGCCCTTTGAAGCAGAGTTCAGCACTCTGGCAACAGCAAGGGTTGGACATTTTGCCCACTGCAGAGCTGAAGCCCTAAATACCCACAAGAAACATCAGCAGTTCCAGAAAGTGAACCCTTTGTAGATACCAGTACTAGTGCGGCAAACGGCACTGGAACAAAGTGAACCCTGGGCTAGGAGCAACACTTGAGTCGAAGTGTTGTAAGTATGCATGGCTCCTAGTGGCCACTGCTAGTGATAGCAAATCCTGTTTATTTTCATGTACTGAAGGAGGTGTTATGCTCCTTGTATAGCGTGTCGTATACCACAGGTGGTGGTGTGCACAGTCTGAAAACCCCTTGCTGGATCAACACTTAAATCACTTGTTACATCAATTCCAAACTCATTGAATTTAACCTAATTACTACTTTGTTGGGTCCAGTAACCTTCCCAGTAAACGCTGGTGTTTGTTTTGTTCAAAGTGTTCAGAACAGAATTGTATTTCTCATTTTTAAAATTGACCAATTTTGTTTCATAAGAACATTCCTGGTATGTAAATGAGAAATTTGGTTAATCTGTTCAATAACATTTTCCATGGTTATAAAAAGTCATGAGAACAAAGATGTTTGCTTTGTGATAGAAGGGTACAGGGAGGGGAATCTTTACCATCTGCCACTACCAAATTACTTTTCAAGGGGGAAAAATAAATCCCTCTCACTGGAAGCTCTTTTGATCAGCTCTAATAGTAATATTTTATGTAGGATTTCTCTTTCAGAGCCTGTTAGAGTTCACAAGAAAATTCATCTTTCTAATGATTTGGTAATAGGAACATCTGTCTCAGACATTGTAAGCACTGAAGCACTAAGAGTTTCTTAGAAATCTCATATTCATCCTGCAATATTTGTCTGGTGTGTGTAATCCTAATATACCAATTGCAGCAGCAAATATTTTGCTGTAACCAGACACTGAAGTCCAAAAGAAACCTGTTGAGCTGCAGCTAATGAATTTATAATGCCTGTGATTCTGCGATGTTTGTGTTCTGCAGCACGGACCTGAGTTTTAAAGAATTTTGAACCAGTAAGACTCAGACTCTGCAACTTTGATGGAATGAAAAAGCCTCAAGCTTTCAACACCTACCATAGAAATTTAATAAGGACCCTAATAAATGGGTCAGTTTCAACAAACAATTAACTTAACAACTTCATCTGGAAGGCTTAGAGGCCCCATTTCATAGGAGGTAGCTTGAGAGCAGTCTTGTGTTATATAGTGTAGTTAATGTTTCCTTTAGAAAGCCAGTGTTTTTAAGATCTAATATTTCATGTGCTCCAAATTACATCAAATTGGCATATGGTACACAACAAAGCCTTCAACCCCTGTATAGATCAAAAAGAAAATTTGTATTAATCTTCTAAGCTGTTTGGGGGTTTCTTAAGCTCAAGGAAAATATACAATTCACAGGAACTCAGAAGCTTATAAAATGAATTTTGTGGGCAATTTGGATAAAATTATTCCTTATAGTTTGATTATGCCATTAAAATTCACACTCCTACAAATACGGAGATTTTATTGTAAGTACTGAGTACACACTGAGCAGTGTAGCTGGACTGCACCATATAGACGAGAGAAATGTGTTTCCCTACGTGTTGTCTTACGTTGTGAGCTATTTTTTCAGCCTCTTGTGAAAATATATAATAGAGATTAAGTCTCTGAGGGTTCATAGTTCAATGTGTTTAATGTAACTCTGTGCTGAGATGAAGCAAAAGTAAAAAATTTAATTGCACTTTCCCCTGCCCTACTTTACACATTTCATCTTAAACATCCCATTTATTTTGCTGTTGGACACTAAGCCTGCCCAGCCTCCCTTTCTCACCCCCCCTCTTTTTTTTTGTTAGACCTCACCTCTAATCCTGCTTCGCGGGTCGGATGTGTTGCCTGCATGTGCCCTGTCTTTTGTGTTTGCATCTGAACTTTGTCCCACGTGTTGTGTTTGAACAGTAAAAGGTCTCCTGGACAAGGATCTGTGCTTCCTTACAGCTGTGCATGTCCTGCACCCAACGTCAACATCCCATATCTAATGTCTGACTGCTTATTGTAACTCATGGCATGGCCTTTATTCGGCCGTATGGCGTATGCAATTCCTTGCATCTGTGTAGGCAAAAAAAAGATAGAAGAGCATGCTGGGATTCATGTGTCCCCACTGCGCTTTATGCAGAAGCTTCTTGAGGCAGAGCTTAGTCAGACGCCACCCTCTTTTTGCTGGTTTGACACCAAAATTCAGCCTGGCTACTCAGTGCCATTGGTCTGGGTCTATGCAAAGATACAGCCACCTAATTAAAACAAAAACCTAAGAAGTTCCCTTTAGCGAATGGAATTGCTGGCAGCCTTGTCATGATCTGTAAAAACAACATGGGCTTTCATGTCTGGAAATGCACGCTTCAGCGTTTGAGACGTCGTAGCACAAGCTTGGAACATTGCAGGCAGCAAATGAGCAATTTTATGTGAAATCCGTTTTCTAAGACAGCAGTCTGGCTTCCTTCATGAACATTAAGTTTGTAGAGAAAACAGTATTCAGACCTGATAGCATGATGACTAGGAATCAGAAATACCTAGGGTGAGTCATGGTGTAGGAACACCATGAACCTCAGTTTAAAATCCAGTTCGCATTTTACTTAGTGGCCTGGAGTTTGTGTAGTTCAAAAGTAGATTGCTCAATCTGTGTTTGTTAGAGACTGATTCATTGCTTGGCGGTTTGAACTGGGGAAGGTGGAAGGAAAGGGATTTTCATTTCCCAAGACGTCGGGTGTCTGAATCACAGGTTTCATTTTGGAGTTAGGCTGTAGTATTTAAATATCATACTTTTGCGCATATATTTTTGTTTTGTAATAAGAAATGCCACTTTCTCCTCATCTTAAGACTTTGGCAGATGCCCGGATGCCTCCAGAGCCATGCACGTTATCAGCTGGTTCTGTGGTGGCCACTGGTTACTGGTGAAGCGGATATGGGACGATTCTCCTGGCAAGTTACTGCTTCTGAAGCCACAAGCAGTCAAGGCATCCTCTTTCACAGTCAGGTGGCCAACACCACCAGTTCTGTCTTGAAAACTTGCTTAATGTTAATAACAGGTGTATCTTGTATCTATAGAGGTTGTAACTAGCAGTAGAAACTAGGAAGCTGGCTTTTGTGCATGTTATAAAACTGGTAGTTAGCAAGATGTCTTGAAGGTAAGTTGCAAGTGGATCTAAAAGCCAGCTGGGCCTGTTGTGAAGGTTTTAATGTCATCTGATGATGATATCCTGGATGAAATGCTAATAGCTTTGGAAACAAATTCAAGTGACCTTCTGCTTTGCTTTAGGATTAATTTCCATATATGCAAATGAAGCAGTTTTCTGAAGCTATATAATTACACACTGACAAGTGCTCCACTCAGATCAGCTTCCACGTTTCATAGTTCCTTCATGTGCCCAGCCCCGTGGTGGTGTGCCTCAGAGGATTATTTACAACTGGTTCTACAACAACACAATAAATAGTATTTAAAAGCAAATCAATATTTGCTATCTCTAATTTGCTGTGGAGCGTAGAGTCTGTTAGAGGATTGGCTTCTTGTAGGTATCACAACAGTAATGACCTTTGAGGAGATCTGAAGGAGAAAGAAATGGCCTTAGCAGTAAGTGCCTGAGGAATTTCTAGGCTGGTGGGGCAGGAAATAGTGCCGCAAAGGGAAGCAGCCAAACTCTCTTCTCCATTACAGCTTAGCCTTGAATTTGCCCAAGTGGTTTTTGAACTAGCTTAGTTTCACTCTGTGACAGATTAGTTGCCTTTGTCATGAGATTTGAGAAACCAGAATATATACCTTTGTGAATATTTATTTGCTAGCTGACTAGAGTGCAGATACCGTGGCTGAGCCAAATTCTGCCAAATTCTGCTGTCCTCTAGGACCAGCTGTGGGGCAGAGAGCTGTGTGGGTCGTACAATAGGCTCATCATCCTACCAGTACGCCTTTGCCTTCTCTAAGGGTTTCTTCCCCTTGAAATTATTGCAGCTAATGCCTCTCAGTGCCTTACCTATGTACTTTGATATAAATACTGTGCCTCTGCAATATCTTAGGCCCTACTGTGAAAGCATGTTGCAGCTGAGCTTACTGGAAGAGTATGGAGGACCCAGCTTCTGTGTGGTGGTCAAAATTTCTCTTCATAATTTTTCCCTTATGTCAAGGTCTGAGCTGAACCAAAATGGCAGTTCCTAACTTTTTACCACCTTCCAGCATTACATCTTTGAATCCAACCCTCACAGCAGGCATCCTTCTTTTCCAGCATAGGATTTTTGTGTAGGCCAGCCATATGGTGTGTGTAATTATTATTTTATAATGGTGTTATTGCTCTCTAGCCGCCCAGTAAACCCAGTGCAGTTTCAGTAAACTATATACATAAGCATAGGAACTTTAAACTTGAATGATTTTCTTCGCTTTTATACAGCAGTAGGTGCAAAGGAGAAAAAAAAAGATTCAGTTTAATTTACAGAAACTGTATAAAATTTATGGAGTCTCTACAGTCGTCTCAAATGAAAAGATGGTAGAGAAGAGGAGCTGTACCGAAACCGGTAGGTCCACAAAGCTGGAGAAGAATAACAGTTAAAGGCAGACGTCGGTAAATACCTGTGCTGAACTTTTCCCATTAACTCTACCGTCGAGCATATGGACTGCATTAAGGCTTTGTCTGCCGTAGGGATCTTACGAACACATTTCCTCCCCTTTCCTCTTCCCCATCCAGTTGCTGTTGCTTTAGATTATGGCAGAATCAAATAGTGTCCATTCTGGGGTCGTTGTTCGTACTGGAAAGAGGCTGTTTGCTGTAGAAACGTTCACTGACTGGTGTCAGAAACCAGTGTATAAATGCAAGTGCTTTCCTGAATATGCTTTTTTTTTTTGACGTGTGTGTGTGAGCTTCCTGAAGCAGTAACACCAGCTTGGCTCGCCCGTCCTTTCAGGCATATGTGCAACTCTAATTTGCATCGGTGGCAGAATTTCTGCAGCAAAATTAGGAGTCAATGTGTGCTCAGTTTTATGGATGATCTGTAAATAAACACAGCTCTCTTTTGCATCCTTATTTACCCTGAAAATGAAGGTTGCCAAAGTGACTGGTGAAAAATAGGACCGGAAACCAAGAAACCAAGCCTCTAGTGAAATCAGAAAACATTAATTTTGCTTCTGTGTACCCTTCCTCTTTGGTTTTGGTTGACATTGGAGGTCTGTATATCCAGCCCATTTGATAAGGTCTCCTGTGCTCCCCCAAACCTGGCACTGCCCATCCGACCATTCCTGAGCATTTCAGGCAAGCTTAAGCAAGAGGTGGCCCCATGTCTTCAGCTAGCTCCTACGCCGGTTCTGCCTTCCCCTTTGCACCAATGCATGTGTTTAAACAAAACAAAGTGTATCTGGGAACAGATCTAGCTTAACATTAACCTCCACCCATCCTCAAAAGTTAATTTTAACAGACCTATTGTGGAAGTTACACCCTGAGTGACACATAGCGCTTCTGCTGCTCAGCCATGGATGTGTGAGTAAAGCCAGTTCTGGGGTCGAGGTGCTGAAGGAAGGGGAGCCCAGGAAAGATGTGACACATCTCTTAGCTTATTGTACTTGAAGATTTGTAGGTGGTAAATGCTGTGGGTTTTTTATAGATATTCTGGAACCCTCATATAATTTACAGTTTCATTTGTAGAGAGCTGTTTCAAATCTGTGCACATTCCTCTAAGATATTTTAAAAGAAAAGCCAACAGCAATAATTAGTTTGGCATTTTCCATGTTTTCTAGAGCACTTAAAGGGTAATGACTTTTTTAACCAGTCTTACATAAAATCAGGTTTTATGGGAATAAGGAGACTTAAAAGGCCTGAATGGCCATCACTGACATGTAATTCATGCTGAAAGCTCTGTTCCAATACATCAAAATAAGGAAAACAATTATACATATGATTAGAGGCTGCTGACCCTTCAGTTAAAATGATCAAAAGAGCAATATTAAAATTTGATTTACGGAAGCTACTACTTAGCCTATAATTAGTCTGACCAATAAAAACAAACCAGACTTTTACAGAGTGTGATTTCCCAGTAGATAGGTTAGCTATTTTTGTAGGGCTGAAGAAACACAAAATGGTTTTAAAATATATTTGATATGCTGTATGAGTAAATTGAAATACAGCATATAACCAGTTTTAATGTTTTTTGTTCATAAATTGCCAGATTTCCTTAATTCAAGTGAAATATGAGAATCACTTGAGAATAATTGTCTCTCAAATGAAATACTACTTTGTCAGTCTACTTCATTTATATTAAATATATGGTTTACTTTTTTATATTAGAAGGTAAATGAAAGTTGGTCAGTAATACGACTCCCCTTACACTTTTGCTGTAGTTCACTATTGAAATGGATTCAGGAAATGGCAGATGTGATTAAAAACTCTTCAGCTGGCCCAAGAGCTATTTGTACAGCACCTCGCATACAGCAATTCTGGCAAGGAACAAGTACTCCTCGTCATATTGCAATCTAAATAAAATGATTCTTCAATGTCAGGAGTTGGAATTTTGATGTAAAATGCACTAGTTAGGAGAAGATTGGGAAGATGAGATTTGATGAGGCTTTTTCATTCATGAGAATGAAGTCAAAATTGTTGTGTTGGCTAATACAGCCCTGTTTCCTTGTGCATGCAAGTAAGCACATTGGAATCCACGCCAGCCCATTTGCATGAGGGTGTCGGAGCAATAATCCTATAAATTGACATAGAAGGGTCAAGCTGTCTGCTCAGAGGCTAACAACACTGGAGAGCTGTGCACAACACATAAATGTTTACCTCTCAAGAGCCACACTGAAGATTGCAAAACTAAGAGAGACTGCTTCTTTAGAATGCATCTGCAAGTGTATAGCTCATGTCTGGGCAAAGAAATTGAATAAAACGTCATAGCTCGGCCTTCCTGATGTGGAATATATTTGTTTTATTCATGGGCCTCTCATGAATTCTGAATTTTTTGTGCATCAGTTTTTGAAATTTCCTACCAGCTTTCCCTCTTCTGGAAATTTAAGTGCTGTTTTTTGTTTATGATATTTCTAGTGGAACGGGAAAATGTACAGAAGAGGACCTTTACCAGATGGATAAACCTACATTTGGGAAAGGTAAGACTGACAAAGAGTCTTGATATTGAGATACAAAGAACCAGCTATAGACAGCTTGCAGTTAATCCCTTGTAAAGTAGTTGAAATTTGGAAACAAAGTTGACTTTCGAGCATAAGGGGACATTTGGAGGAGAATGAGGGGAAGGTGAAAGCATGTTTCTGGGTAAATGATAATTGCTTTTCAGGTGCAACAAATGCTTGTCTGCCTTCAGTTTATCTCAGGTGCATTTAAGTCTTTAGTGCTACTGACTGTTACCAGGAGGCTAGAATTTTCCCACAGAACGTACCCACATAAAATCAAAAGTTGAGGATGCTCTCAAGTGATGATGACTGTGTTCTTCCCTGGACTGGAAGTTTGAACATCTGAGGCATCATGGCCAAAGACAGATGTTCTTCAGAACCTGGCTTCATCCCAGATCTGCAGATGGGAAACGTTAATTCCTTGTTTGTCTTGTTTGGGGGAGGGGAGTGTATGATGGGATCTTTACATATCTATTTACATTAGAGAACTAATTTTTGGACATCACTTCGTATTTTTAAGATGTAATTGTTTCCTAATCACACCATAATACAGCTATTAAACCTAGTTTGCTGTTCTTATTGTTAGTAGATAAGTACTAACTCTCCTGAGTAGTCTGCCATCCATAGAATGATTTTCATGCTGTTGAGGATGAAAAGAGAAAAAAAAATCTTAACATTACTGAGATGGTAACAATGCTTAGTGCAGGATCAAGGACTGAGACCAGCTTCCTGATCTAGATGAAGTCCTAACGTGGACTGAAGTTTGAGCTTCACAGTGCTTTTAGTATCTGTGGCTAAATTTCATAAAGTACAGGTTGGGACTGAGTATGGGCTTCAGGCTGACTCTCAGTCTAGTTCCTGTGGCTCTTGGACGTGATTGTGTTTCAGACATAGTAAAGCAAAGGAGTTTTTGAAGAAAGGCATCATATATAGTTGCCTAAGTCCACTACTCTATGGTGAGCGTCAATGAAGGAATAAAGGGATCCTCTTAAATCTCGCTGCAGAATCAAAATAAGGCTAGTTGGAAATGTTTTGACTAGCAATTGTTCCCAAAGGTCTCTCACGAAGACAGTATTATGTGATTGCTTCATGAATCAGGCTGTAGGGCTTTAAACTAACTGCAATTTTGGAAGTTGTCAAAAAGGGTTGTCAAATGTGTGACTGTGGAGAAGGTCGTTGATTTACAGAAGGAATTAGATCATGAGAAAGGCTATAGGGTACTGTTAATTCTGCTGTGCCAAGCAGATGAAGTCTTAGAACCTTTGTGGGCAGGTGAACTGTTTTCTCTGGAGTGCATGCAAATTTTTTTCCTCTCTCATTCAACAAAAAAAAATGCTTTTCTAAAGAGAGGGCAAAAGTCTGCTGCTATATTAATGTTTTTCCTGGAAGTGGCATAATAAACATATCCACATAAATAATGAGAGCTTCGCTAAAGCTCTCTCTAATTACAGGTTATTCCCAGAGGACACCCACTGAGGAAGGCGCCTTCTGCCTTTATCCTCAAAGAAGCACTTCTTGCAGAGTGGCTTCTTTCTTTTAAGGGCAGCAGTGAAGTCTTGTTCTTGTACTTCTTCAGGAAGCTTATGGTGTGGTGTGTCCCGTTTTGGAGCCCACCATCCCATCTGGGTCATCTTTTGAGAGGAGATGGCTCTGCTGGTCATGGGATAGTTGGGAGTAGTCTGCATCTTCTGAGTTCTGGTGGTTCTTGTCTTAAGTACTGAAAGAATGAAAAAGATTTTGGTTTGAGGCTTTCAGATAGGTTATTTAATTTTGAAAAAATGACACTTTTCTTTCTTTAAGTATGGAGCATTGTTCAGTACTCTTGGCTAGATTAAAGACTAGTAACAAACATGTGTGGTCCCTGTTTGCCAGAAGCAGTGCTTAATTGAACAGTAGGGCATTGCCCAACCAAAGATAAAAAGACTTGGCTCTGACAACAGAGTGAGTGACACCTGAACACAGCGTAATTGCTGCAGCTGAGACTTCCCCCAAGGGCTGAGCTGACTTGGCTGTGTGCCCCACTGTGCACGCATCACCAGACACCTCGGTGAAGTGAGGAGATGGTTCCCTTTGGAGGAGTTTGCTGAGAAAAGAGAGACACAATACAAGAAGCTGCTATTTAAAGTACTTAGGGGATACTGGGAAACAGAATGGTACCACCAGAAACCTTACAGAGGACACAGAACATTGTGGCCAAGCTGGATCTTGGGCTTATTTGGGACATAAAGTGGGATTCGCTTCTGCTGGACTTGTCTTAGTATGAGGGATCAGCACCCAACCCTTGGCTTGTCACTTCCTAGGCAGACTATTAAGGACGAGATTCTGTTATGGGAAATCTGGAGTAAGTCCTTGTCTGATCTCAGTTACATGAGTACTGTATCTCAGTTTTAGCTCTAACATTCCTAGGACAGAACTGCCACTGATGACAAGCCTTTCTTCCTGCAGGCTAAGATTTATTTCTAGTATCTCTGTCTTGTAAAATTCTCCTTCTTACTCTATGGTATCATGGTGATTTACCAAACAGTACTGCTTTAAAAGGTACCTGGTTTCTTTTCTTCACAGTGCAAGCCTCCTCTGAAAGTGAGAGACTTGTTTATTGATATACAAGATGGCAAAATCTTGATGGCGCTACTGGAAGTCCTGTCAGGACAAAAGCTGGTATGTATACAAGAGGGAAAAACCTCCATAGATATGGAGCTCTGTATGTTACGAGCAACAATGTATGGACATCCAAGGAATAAGGGTGAATTTGGTCCTGTGTCTTGGGTATAGTAATAAGAATTTCAGCAGCTTTGTTGTGATTTCCTTATGTTACAGGATGGTGTCCTGAGTTGTAACTTAGATTTCAAAGAAATATATAACAATGAGGTGTAAACGAAGCGTGGTCACTGTAAATGTTCATAACACTCCGGTTTTTTAAGGCTTTAATACATTAATGCTCACATATTCCATTTAGAGATCACCTAAGTCACATTACCAAGAAAAGATGTATTTGCTATATTATTTTTTGAATCCATAAATTCTGTTTCTATTTTTTCTAAGATCATTATGACACTTAATAGGTCTGCTGATGCTTGGTATAGTTGCGAGTTTAGTTCCGGTATCCTGGCTCAGGTTTCATTAGTCTTACTGACACGGCCTAAATCAGAAGGGCAAAGCTTCACTTATCAGAATCTTTCTCTCTCCTCCTTTCTTTGTAAGAGCTGTGTAAAGATCCACATACCAGAAATGGAAACACCCAGCGCAAATATAAATGACCAGCTACAGTTGATTTGAATGTTTTCTTTCTACATCAATCTTGTCAGCAAGTACTCTCTTCTGGGTGCGTATCACACTTGGATAAGAGGAGCGACCTGCTCTGCAGCCATCTCACCACTGCAGATGCGCTTGCAGTCACCTGGTGATGCTCTGTAGTGACCGAACCATCTGCATACTGCAGCATGGATGTCCACTGTGGTCACACATTCAGAACCACCTATTTTTCAATATTCTTGCAGGTTTGGGGAGCTGTAGCAGAAGCAGCAGTGTCTCTGTGTGCATTCAGAGAGACTTCACTGAGAGCCAGGCTGGAAAGGAGTTGCAGGGGGAATCACATCCCTAGGCTATGCCCCGGGAGGTCAGGGAGAAGGGCAAGGAAGGCGGTAAGGTCAGCTGGCCAAACGTGTTGCACTGGCTGTTAGGTGTTCCTGCATGTGATAAAAACAGTGTGCTAAAGGGGGATTGCAGGGAGAGAGGGAGGCTTGTCACAAACCTGTTTCATCTCTGCCAAAGTTAAGGTTTCTGCCTCCCACCTGCCTGTGCCTGCTACAAAAACTGCTCACACTTGCTAGTGAAGATGATTTAATTCAAGACAAAACAAATCTACTGTTACAAATTTTCAGGTAAATCTGATTCTGTGATTGAACGCTGTGGGGGAGGGATAACATAAATAATCAGCGTGGCAGGTCCAAGAGAGTGATAGCATCAGGAGAGCAGGAAAACTGGTTGCTAACCCTGTTTTGCTCCATCAAGGGCAGATCATGTAGTTGACGCACCTTACTGATCAGAGAAGATGGCAATAGTTTTATATAGGTAGATTTCCTTAGCTTTATTTTGCCTTTGTGTTTGTAGTTTTTTTAAGCTTTGTATGTAGTGGTGTATAATTCCACCATTTCTAAAAACTGTGTGGCTCTTATGTTTTCTAGATGCATGAGTACAAATCTTCAACCCATCGCATTTTTCGTTTGAACAACATAGCCAAAGCACTTAAGTTCTTGGAGGACAGTAATGTGAGTATTTTCAAAGGCTGGTCTTAATATCTTCTCTTGATGTATATTGCAAGTTGTAATTGTTGTAACTGTGACTAGTCTAATGTGCTGCATGTACATAAGGGGAATGTACCGCTTAAAGGCACTGTGACTTACCTTAGCAGCAAGGCTGAAAAGCCACATAAACATGCACAACGAGAACACCTACAGAGTCTAAAACAGGGATTATTTGTTCATTTTATAATGTAAAAGTTCAACAGGATTAAAGGATCAGGAACCCAATATTAAAAGAAAATAAGAAATGCAAATAATCTTTATAAACTGGGTCTTAGTGGCATTACTTCAATTACACTGAAGGTAGATGACTTGCTTTCATCAGAAATACTTTCTGTATTACAAATCATGTATTTATCTGGTAAACTGCTGCTGCAGCTGATCATGAGTCAAAGGCAGGAGAAAATTTAATCTGGGAACATGACATAAATGTATAATTCCAGGAATCAAAACCTTATAAGGATATCACTTCCCTCATAGACAGTGTGGCAACACTGCAACATCATTTCCTAAAGTTGTTACCGAGCAAGATCAGACCCTGTAGCTTGAAATGATTCATTCCTTTTTTTATTTCTCCCATTAGGGCTTTATTCCAAACCCCTATGGATGTGGCCTGTGTCTTGAAAACTCTCTGCTCTTGTAAAATGTTGAGAAGTAATGGGGTGAAGAGAAGTCCCAGCCATGTAACAGCTTGTATACATGGTATACCTAGATTTTTCAGAAACAGAAAACAGATACTGGACCAAGTCCTATAAAGGACTGCAGCATTCTTGCCACACTGAAAGATCTTTTTATGTAGTATCTGAAATAAAGTTTTGCAACTTCTGCACTATAGCATCTGGGAAAAAAATGTAATTGATGATCATATTGACTCCAGGGTGCATGTACTCTACAGGGTAGAGGAGGGGTGAGGAGGGATCTGGTGTGTGCACAGGGACAAAACCCTGCCTTGCATGGAATGACACAATAGCAACTGATGTCACTTTGCTGCTTCCCTGCAATGAGCTTAGCTCTTGCTCCAGAGATCCTGCAGCAGTGCTAGTCCTGCAGAAGAGTCACTGCAATCCCAGCGCAGGAACGAGCGTGATGTGAGGCCTTAGTGCATCTCTTACGACCTGGTAGATGTGGGAGGTTTAAACTCCTTTGCCTTTTTCCCCAAGAGAGGATGTGAAAAGTCCAGAAGTTGTCCAGCAAATTCCAGGTGTTCCAGTGTCGTTTTGGAAAATCCACTAGTGGGGACTGCTCTGGCCCTAAATGTGTATGTCTACATGTCCTGCTATAGAACTGCTAAGAAACATTTTACAAGTTCTCAGATTTCTTAACAGTTTCCCAGTTGACACTTTCTACCCAAATCCAGCTAAGGCCTACTGGCAGATGAGATTTTTTCGCTCTGTTGATATCAACACATTGCAGAGCTGCAGCTGAAGCATGTCTGGTTGCCAGGACTTCGCCAGAGGACAACCTAGAACCTCAGTGACCAAGGCCAGGTGGGATGAGCCTTGGACACAGATGGCCTTTTAATTAGTGGTGCTAAAACACCTGATTTTCTATGGATTTCTGGTTCCCTTAAGAATAAACAGCCAGATAACTCTACTGGGCTGGGTGACAAACATCAGCAGCAGTAAGGGACAGAGCTGACACCGAGAGCAGTTGGAGTTGTTCAGACCGGAGAAGAGAAGGCTGCGGAGAGACCTTATTGCAGCCTTTCAGTACTTAAAGGGGACCTGTAGGAAAGATGGGGAAAATCGTTTTAGCAAGGTCTGTTGTGACAGGACTAGGAGTAAAGGTTTTAAACTAAGGGAGGGTAGACTTAGACTGGATATAAGGAAGAAATTTTTTACAGTGAGGGCGGTGAAACACTGGCACAGGTTGACCAGAGAGGTGGTGGATGCCCCATCTCTGGAAGCATTCAAGGCCAGGTTGGACGGGGCTCTGAGCAATGTGGCCTAGTTGAAGATGTCCCTGCTCACTGCAAAGGGGTTGGGCTAGATGGCTTCTGAAGGTCCCTTCCAACCCACAGCATTCTATGATTCTGTGATTCTATGAATGATAAATGCCACTTGCTCCCCATTTTGGAGAAACTGGTATGCAAATATATTAGGTCTAAAGGTTCTCCCATGCCAAATACCTTGGAGCTAGCAAGAAATCTGAGCCTTAAAATATGACAGCTAGAGGTGTCTTCTTGCTAAGACTGAAAACTGTTGCATGAACCACTAGATAAAAAGTTATTTTGCTTTCCTTTTTTCATTTTAACCAAACCGGTTAGTGAAGGGTGGTGATGAAAGTGTTGGCAAAATCCCCTGGCTGCCAAGAGCTGCAGGGTTAGATATTAAACCACAGTGGGTGGAACCCATCAGCATATGCTTCTGTAGAACTGGGGCAGCAGGGTAAAGCACTGCTAAGTGACTCATCACGTACAGGATTTCTCAGTGATAAATGGGCTGTATGCTGGGCTTTAACTCGGTCTGGGTGCCATGTGCAGTACTGACAGCTTCCGTGCTTCCTCCCTCCTCCACGACCTTTGCCAAAACCAAGTCTGTGTTGTCTAAGAGAATAACATCCTGGTGTTATCAGGTGGAAGAAACCACAGTGTGGGCAAGTTTAGAGTTTGCTTGGATTAGGCAACCCTATCCTATGCTAACTGATTTAACCAGAACTCTGTGACAAGCTGCGTAAGGTGAGATAAGCAAGGAGAAGGAAGATGCATAGCAAAACAGATCTTCATTAGAATTTTAATTTTTGTACGAGAATTGACTGTCTACTTTTTAAGAATGGGGTCCACTGGAGGGGGCACCATCTTGTTCCATTTTTGTAGGGAGGAAATACATTTGTGGTCCTGAGGATGCAGAACCAGGCTCACTTCTGTTCTGCAGACTATACTGGGGGCTTGAGATAAGAGTTCCGTGAGCAGGGTGGTTGTGGTCAGGGCAAAATTGTCATTAACAAATATTTTAGTCTTGCTTTTTGGCTGGCCAGCCTGTGGCAGAAGTGTTCTGGACATATCCAGTAGTCTCAGTTCAAGCCAGTGCATTTTTTGCATTTACCTTGCTGCTTTGAATTTGGCTGTGAATTTATGATCTCTTCTACAGGTAAAGCTTGTTAGCATCGATGCAGCAGAAATAGCAGATGGAAATTCCTCTCTGGTACTTGGACTAATATGGAATATAATCTTGTTTTTTCAGGTAATAAAACTTGAATACTTTAATCATAAGTGAACAATCTTCATGGTATCAATCCACTCCAGCTCAATACTGATTTTCAAATTGATTTTTAATCCTAAAGAACATGATTAAGCATGCCAAACCCAAGCTTTTCCCTCGTAATATGCACTAATTTTATACCTGCAGCTGCTTTCATTTTACTTAATTGGACCTATTTTGGTGTAAATAGGAGACAATTTAAGCCCTCGTTTGACTTGGACCAGAATGAGAGCTTCAGATTACTACTTTCCCTTCTCCTGTGCCTTCTCAGGGTTCTGCTCCAGATTGCCTGGATCTGAACCAACGTCTCAGGTTTAGTTCCAGGTCACAGTTTATTTTCAATAACCTTTTCTGGATTTGGTCCAGTGTGGTGGAAAATTCCATGTAGTATCACTGATCTCCGGAGACTTACTCAACAGGGCAAAAATTTGCAACTGATGTAGAGGGCCAAATGAAAGATCTTGAAGGGCCTGGAACTGATAAAACTGATTTGAGCCTGAAAATTGATTTAGCCCCAGGCTTAGTTTAAAACTGCTCCCTAATCTACACGTATTTTGAAAAAGTCCTTCTAGACAATGCCAAATTCTAATGAACAGAGAGAAACGGAGGGAGGGTTTCTGTAACTCTCGTAGGACTGTGAGGCTCTTTCATTCTCTTGGGCTCATTTCTGAACTGGCTACAGGTTTAGAAAATAATCTCTGTCTCTAAATTGCACTGGGCGTTCTCTCCCTAGCTGAGATCCTCAAGCTGAACAGGGGTGCACAGCACCTGTTTGGCCAGCAGGACTCAAAGGCAGAGATGTTGTGACCAGAATCTGTTGCCCCAGCAGCAGAGGGCATGGGGACCTAAAAGCAGCAGAGGGGATAATTTGGAATCAAATATCAATGCTGACGAGGTCAGGAGTGCTGGTCCAGGGCACCATTTCTTGACTAAAAATATTTCACTCAAGCGAGTCATGTGAAGAGAAAACAATTTCAGTTAAACTAACTTTTCTTTCAAGGACGTGTTTCTTTGCTTTTTTTTTAATATGAATTTGCATAGTTCGGGCTTAACTGATGCTGTGCCCTTTGTGTCTCCTGGAGTTGCCAGCTGGGCTGCTGCTGGCTGTCACGCCAGTGCAATAGAAGTTGAGCGTTACAATGGACACAGGTCTATAATTACCTCTTAAAATTCAGTTATGGTGCTGTTACCTTTAAAGTTTGCATGAAAACCAGCACTGAGTTCTGCGTGCAGCTGGTGTTAAATCAGAGCACTGCGTGTTTCGCTTTTTATTACAGATTAAGGAGCTGACAGGTAACCTCAACAGGAACTCCTCCTCCTCCAGCCTGTCCTCCGGGCCCAGCGGTCCAGAGTCTGATGCATCCCACCCCAGCACTCCCAGCGTGGAGAGGAATATGTCTGTTACAGTGAAGGATCAGCGGAAAGCCATCAGAGCTCTTTTAATCTGGGTTCAGAGGAAAACCAGAAAGTAAGCTAACAAACCCTCGTGGAAGAATGTGTTTTGCCACCTGCCCTTTTGAAGCTGAATCTCATTTCTCTCTCCTGCCCCGTGTGTGCATTACCGTGCACTGTGACTTCTTCTGCCTTCAAAGTTTGCAGGCACAAGGTCTCTGCAGGGGGGTGTATCCCTATGGCCGTGCGTCTACGGCGGCCGTCTGCCCTTGAAACTGTGCATTGCTGGCTTCATGGTTTGAGTGTTAAATGTTAACTTGCACTAATCTGCTTGGCGCTGTTTAAAACAGGATCATTCCCTCCTCCCCCTGCCCCCTGGCTTTCCTGCAGTCTATTTGATATCTTTTGCTAATTAAAGGGTAGGCATAAACAAGGGGTGAACTGAAAAAATAAATGTATTGAAAGACCTTAGCCAAAGCCTTTTCAATTAAGCAGCAGCCCTGAGGGAGCTTCTCTGTGTTCTGCAGAGTGCCGTGAAGGACACAGCCCCTATTAGAGTCCCTCTTTCCTCAGAATTGAAGAGGGGAAGGGGGTGAATCTTAGATCACTTCTCATGAACGCGTAACATGGGGTCTATTTCCGTGGCTCGACACATCTCTCTCCTCTTTAATAAAAAAGCAGTTCTTTCGCCAAAGCATTTTGTCTAGTAGTGCTTTAACCTGACAGAGTTACTGTCGGGTTAAAAAACTTTAGTGTGAGAAGTCTAGTGCATGTGTAAATGCTTGGAGTGTATTGTACATATATTGTTATCTGAGGCGATCACTTCCAGAGAGGAAGGGCATGGGTCAAATTTACTTTTACAAGTTGGATAGCTCAATATTTGGCATTTTTGTCTGTTGATGGATTTATATGTTCAAATCTTCCTGTGAACACAAATGTTCTCTGTCTAGTGTTGAAGACAGAAATTTACATCATAAATACTTGGTCCTGTGGGCCGCATCATCCCTTGGTTATCTCCCATGAAGCTAAGGGTGCTTGTTGTGCAGATAAACTCATCCCATTGAGATCCGTAGTTCACTGCTGCCAGTGCAGACCATAGAGGAAGCACAAAATAATAGTCCCAGAATAATCCTGATAAGGTTATTAACAGGGAGGTGGTACAAGGAAAGTGAGCACTAGAGAAGTAACGGCCGTAGACTTTTCAGTCTGGTCAAGGAGTACAAATTGAAAACATCTAATAGGAGAAAATTGTTCTTGCAACTGTGCTATTAAAAACATAATAGCATCATTATAATCCTGTTATCCAATGACCTGTGCAGAATTTTCTATTCTGCGGCTGTATTTCACTGCAAGTTTGATGGTTGGTTTTCCCTCCAAAACTTCGGGCACCTAACACACTTGTGGTTTATACATATCCGGACACCATTTGCATTTGGCAAAGCACAATTTTCTGCTATAGAAGGCCAAGTACACAGAAATATGAATCATTTATGCTTATGTTTTTAAATACTTAAGAGTTGGCAGTCTGCCCAAGCTATGGCATTAAAATGCTGGAGAGCAACAGAAACAGGAATCACAGAGACATTTGGTTTTGTGACTGTTAAATGTAGTTGCTGAGTTCTTGAGGGCTTTGTTTTTACTAACTGCTTCCTACAAGCAGGTTGATACCAGCTGTTAGCCACACTATTCCAGTTTGTGAATCCTTGCGTTTTATGGACACATTTTTTACATTTCAAAATCCAAAAAGATCTCAAAAGTGACTAGTGCAACTCAGCAACCTTACTTTTAACTTTCAGAAGTCTTTGAAAATGATGATGCCTTTACTTTGGATTTTGTAACACAACCACCCGTGTAAACTGTATGTAATTCTGTTTAGGTACGGAGTTGCAGTTCAGGACTTTGCCAGCAGTTGGAGGAGTGGCCTTGCTTTCTTAGCTATCATAAAAGCAATAGACTCTACTTTGGTAGATATGAAGCAAGCGCTGGAGAAATCGGCTCGAGAAAACCTGGAGGATGCTTTCAGCATAGCACAAAATAAGCTGGGTGTTCCTCGGCTCCTAGAACCAGAAGGTAAAACGCCTACATCAGCTTGGTTGGGAAACATTCAAACTATAATGAATTAATGAATATTACATTGTGATACCTACCAAAAACCTCCCAGTGGTTAGGCTGTTGATGTGATCTGTGTGTTGGGCTGATTGATAAGAAAAATAAAAAGGAATTGGACACTGGCTTGTAGTCGTATTCTTCCAGTCCTATCTGTAAGCTCCTTAGGGGCAGAGATCTTACCATAGTTTTAGCTATGTACATTGGTCCTGGTTAATGTTTAGATGCTGTGTGGCATCTGCATTACTACTGGGTGTTAATCACCACCTTGCTATGCTGAGAGGTGTCTCAGTGCATTAGCACCATTTCGTAATGCCTACAGTCTGCAGACTAAATGTCACTCCAGGATGAAGTGTGTGAGTCTGCCATACCAGGAAAATGGGTAGATATCTATTCAAATGTATTTGCATCTCCCAGTTTTTCCTTTACAATGCATATATACACATATATATATTTCAATGTGTAAACATAAACATATATGTGTGTATATAAATGTACGTATATAAATAGACCTGCTTCTTGCAGTGTTTTTACTAAAGTCTACTAGACAGGCGTTAGGCCTTCGTTTTATGACTGAAAGCACAGATTGGTTATTTGTGCTTTCATGGGTCACCTGTTAGAAGACTGGGCCATCCTGCTAACAATAAACCTCTGTGCTGTCACTCAACAAGATCACTGTCTAGTGACAACAACATAAATGACAGTATGAGGATGGATGAAAATATACCCTGGTCAGAGTTCGGTATGTGCTTGGAAATAGGAAAAAATTAATGTGAGTAAGGTGTTGAGAACTCTTTCAAGTACCATCAACAGTGAAAAGTATTTCTCTTATTTGTCAGAAAAAGAAAAGCGTTTGTAGCCGTTGTTTCTCTCCTCATAAAGGCAGGATAAATGTCTGACGATCTGTTCCTCTGCAAGAGCGTTTTAGAGGCATGTGTGCTCAAGCCCCTTGCATCTGTCTCCACAGATATCATGGTGGAATCACCAGATGAACAGTCAATTGTGACGTACGTGGCGCAATTTCTGGAACACTTCCCGGAGCTGGAAGGGGTATGTGTTTACTCCTATGTCACAAGTCATATTTTTAGTTTGCTTTGGTGTGCTTAGTAAAGTCAGATATTGCTGTATTTAACTTACAGGTTTCTTTCTAAGCTATTTAAAATAAACTACAAACTCAGATTTAATTTTTCATATTTCTGTTAAATCCAGTCAAATGGGCTTTCATTGGCGATGGCTAGAATGCTTTAGGTAGAGTTGTGCTTTTAAACATTTGCATCCAATTATAGCTTTCAGAGGTTAGAACTGGTTATATAGGGCTCTACTACTTTGCTATATTAGTCTTAAATGAGGCTGAATTCTATCCCTTCACCTATGATGATTCATTGGACTTCGAATTTCATTTTGACTTCTGTTTTCTCAAGTTTGAGAGCCACAATCAATCTGAATTTAGCAGATATCAGACACGAGATACCAGAGGCTGAGTCTTGTCAATGCAGCAGTCAAAATCACTCATTGTAAGCATGAAATTAACTGCAGCTTAAAGAACTGGGACTTTGATGCAGACTTTGTCAAAAATAAAGAATTCAGGAGCAAGCAGGGACTGACAGTGTCGGGGATTGACAAAGGTCTGCTGAGAAACAGAGGATAAACTTACAGAGGAATTCAAGGATAGAGACAAAACTCGAGGAAAAACAGGAAGTCCCAGGAACTGGAGGAGAGATCTACATAAGGTGAAAAACTGTTATGGAGGCTGCTCGTACTTCAAGACAAACCTAGTTCAACATAATCTTTTTGGTTTGAAAGCATTTCCAAGGGACTTAGTCTCCCTCGAGTATCTGGGTAAGTTTTTGTGCTAGAGTACACGCACATAAATGATGGTTCCTACACAAAATGTATTTCCTGTCATTTCTGGACTGAATGTTCCAGTTGGTATGTATTTGTAGCTTATAAAATTGGTGGGCATTACTAAAGCCACTGGAATTAAAATTATTATAATGATCTAATTATTATTATTAGATTTGATGAGCCATAAGATTTGTTGGCATTAAGACTTGTGGGCATTTTAATAGACAAAGAAAAATGCTATTTGTTTTGTTTTTTTTAAATACAGTCTGCTGGAATGGAATAATCTAGTTTAATAATATATTTCACAGTGGATATAGTGAACTTGTTAGATTTATTTGATTCCTGGGGTTTGAGATTGTGTCAAAAAGCCAAGTCGGTTGTCTCCACAGGTGCAGCAGGGAAAGATGAATACATTAGCAACTGAGCAGTAGGCTTGTCTGCATTCTGATCTTCCTGTACAAGTGGCTTCTTGATGTTGAACTTGGTTCAAGTCACTTGACTTGCCAAATTGGTTTCCCTGCTTTCAAAATGAGTCATTAATTGGCCATTCACAAGATAATGGGGTGATGGTCTAGGTAATTATTCTTTCTGTAGTGTTTGGGAAAAGTAAAATGGTGTCTGAGGTATGATTTGTCTTTTAATGGTGTATTATCACTTATAGGAAGACTTTACAGATCCTGACAGGGAGCTTCCAATTGAGTCCACGTACGTCCACATCAAAGACACACCTTCAGAAAAGGAAGGCAAAATCTTGATTTTAAGTGAAAGTGAAGAAAACATGTACACTGTTAATCACGAAAGGAGTCATCCTGCTCCTCCAAAGGTTCATATTGATGACACCGCTGAGAGAATCCCATCAGAAACCGTTCCTGAAAAATGTAATGGAAAATTCAGTCATGTGTTAGGCGATGCACAGGAAGTGTCTGAAGAGGAGCCTCAGAGGCCTACCTCACTGAAAATTACGGGATCTTTCAGTTTTGAATCCAGTTCCTCTTGGGAGGTTCTAAGTGATAAATTCATGTCAGGCGAAGGGGGCATATCTGATGATCCATTGAAAGAGAATGATGACCTTTCTCCAGCTGTTCTGACAGATCAGAAAAATTCTGTTGACTCTTTTGAAGACTACTCTGAAGAATTTACTAAAGAAACCTCTACTGAATATGACAACGAAACTAAGAGCCTTTCAGCCAATACTTCTTCTTTGAGTCCGTTGTCCTGGACTTCAGGTATACTTACAGATGAATCTATAAATAAAGTAGAAGAGAGCAAACCCCAGACTTCAGTTCTTTTACCAGAAGATACCTCAAAACAAGAAGATATGCATAAGTATGTTCTTCATCTTCTAAATGAGGAAATACTGAAACTTCCACAAAATGAACATACAAAGCAATCACCCGTCGTTGAGACAACAGAAACTAACCATTGTTCACTGAATGGTTCTGATCTCAAAAGCCAAGAACTATCTACACAGCATGAAGCATCTGATGACTCTCTCTCAGATGTACCTAAAAATCCAGAGGACCTGGACAGCTGTGATGAAGTTGAGTCTCCAGATGAAGTGCTGCCCAGTTCTTCAAAAGTATCTGTAATACCCCATGATCTCTTTTATTATCCACATTATAATGTTCCCATATCAGCAGTTTTGAACGCTTACCTTGAGCCTTGTATTGAAAGTTATGATACTGGAAATGACAAATCTTCTTCTGAAACACTAACGGATGTTTCACATGAGAAGGGCTTAGCAGAACAGAACTACAAGGAAGATGCTCCAGTGCCAGACATAGGGAATAAGCTAGGTGTCCCTCCATCAGAAACAGATACTGAGAACAGCGAGGAGGAAACGACAGAAATCAACTGTCACATAAATTCTTCCGATAAAAAAGAAGTGCCGTTACTAGTAGGAGAAGAGTTAGAAGTTGAAAAAGATGGCAAAAAGGCCATCGACCATCAAGATTCCACTATTCCACAACATCCTGAGGTATTTTATTTTTTTATTACCAGCATTTCTTTGCATATATATGGGCGAGTAGCATCTGACCTCAGTGGTTTTCATTTGCTTTCATTTTGCAATGTTCTCAAGAAATATGTAAAATGTACTTGATTTCCTGTCCTGTAACGCTGTTTGCCACAGCCCTCTACTGGAGTGAATGGAATTGCAGACCCCTGAGAAGATCAGACATTAAAAGAGAGAATAAGCCCTAATACTAATAGTACTGCAAAAATGTGAATTTTAATTACGTTTTAAAGTAGTTTCAGGCTCCTGTATAATCCCTAGGCATAAAAGGTTATCACAGAGGGTATTTTTAATAATCTGTAGTGAGATGAACAGAAAGTAGTATTGCTGATACAGAAAGGATACAGGCAAAAGTAATTTTGTCTGAATCCAAGTAAGTTTGCCTACAAAAACTTAAACCAATTTGAGTAGGATAAGTTACGTGGGTAAAATGAAGGCTTGTCTACACTGGAAGAGGAGAAAGAGGGGGGATTTTTGGTAATTATTCTATTGGATTTAGGCAATTTGCTACTGCATCTCTTCTTGCAGACACATGTTTTCCAGCTCAGTAATTTTAGACAGTGTTTTTCAGGAATGAGTGTTCATTTAGTGTTACTCTATATGTTGCTTAGACAAGTTGCTTGAACGTGTTTTGGTCCTGACGCTTACTAGAGTAATGAAGTCAATTTGCTGTTAGCTTCGAAGACTCATTGGGCATAGATTTTAAAAAGTCTTAGCGGATTACTTTGAAGAGCCATGTCGTGTCATGACTTCTTATATAATAAGAACTGACAACTAATTATATGTATGTGGAACTGATGATACTTTATAGCTCAATGTATCAAAATTGTTTTCAAGAAATGAATTACTTTTTATTCTCTTTAGTGCGACTTCCAATCTTGTACTAGGTGCAATTTAGCATCTGAGTAGGCTATACTACTAAGATATTTAGAAGGGTAGGGAAATAGTCTTGTTGCCTAATGGAGAATGTTTCTTAATTTCAACAGGCCATAGTAGAACATTTAGAGGGTTTATCAACAGGAATGAAGAGGCCAGAAAACAGTAGTAATAGAGAGGAAGAAGGGAAAGATACGATCGAAGCAGACCACTTGCAGATCTCAGAAGTTGCCACTGCTACTCTGTTACAAGATAAACTGGAAGAAATTGCTGATTGTCGGGAATTTACCAGGTATTTCACATTAACTTTGCTTAAATACACCTAACTGTTATGAATGCCTGGTCTTTTGAAGTGTGCCCTGTCCATTGGATGTTTCTTGTAGACTTCTTTTTGGAGCAGTGCATGGGGACTCATCAGCTTCTTCCTGTGTTTCTCTTAAACATGCTGAGTGACTTAGCGCCAGTGGGACTTGATGTGACTTTGCTGTACAAACTTTGTTACAGAAAACCCAGCTGGAACCCCAGTGCATTTTGAACGTGGCAGTGTTACAACTGTTTTTTTTCAACAGAAGGAGTGTTTTGTAACGTAGATGAAAAAATCCATGTGCATTGTGACACTCACTGCGTGGAAGTATGACACTGCTTCATTCAAACAGATATTTGTCGGAATTTTTTTCTATGAACAAGTGAACGAGATTGTGGTAGGCTGACCTTGGCTGGCCACCAGGCGCCCACCAAGCCACTCTCACTCCCCATCCTCAGCAGGATGGGGGGAGAAAATAAGATTAAAACATCATAGGTTGAGGTAAAGGCAGTTTAATGAAAAAAAGCAAAGGCCACCTGTAGCAGCAAAGCAAAAGGAGACCAGGGCAAAAAAAAAAAAAAAAGATTTATTCTCCTCTTCCCATCAGCAAGCAACGTCCAGCCACTTCCTAGGAAGTAGGGCCTCAGTAGCCGGAGTGGTTGCCTCAAAGGACAAACGCCCTAATAACGAGTGCATGTGCGTGTGTGTGTGTGCCCCTCTGCCAGCTTCCTCCCTTCTCTCAGTTTTATTGCTGAGCACATCACATGGCACAGAATATCCCTTTTGTCACTTTGGGCCAGCTGTCCCAGCTGTGTCCCCTCCCAGCCTCTTGCCCGGCCCCAGGCTACCGGCCTTTGGGGCGGGGGGGTGGGAGAGGCAGCCTTGGTGCTGTGCAAGCGCTGCTCAGCCATAGCCCAAGCATCGGTGAGTCACCAGCACCCTTCTAGCTACAGACACAAAGCACAGCGCTATAGGGGCTGCTGTCAGGAAAGGTAACGGCACCCGAGCCAGACCCATTACAGAGACACTCAGCTAATTTTACTCCGTTTGCTTCTGTTCCCTCTTATGTTCTAATTTAGTTCTTAGGTAATGTATTTGAGTGGGACGTGAACTGTAATCTGTTGATGCTTATCACTATAGCGCTCTTATGAACTTGAAAGAGTTTGCTTAGAAAAACCCATTGTCTCCTTCAAGCTTTCTGTTCCTTGCAAGGTCTGTCAATTTTTTATTTATATAGATAGCCATAAAACCTGGGGTATACTCTCACTTAAATGTCAGTGATGTCAAAGGTGCAGAAACCCTATCACACACCATTTTTCAGAAAAGATTCCAATATAAGCATGTGGATTATTTTACTGTGGGTCAGATTTTCACAAAACTATTTTTTATAATGTTACTGATAAAGTCAAGTCCATATTCTAATACATGCACCAATGCATATTTGTGATTTTGCATAGCTTAAAACTAGCGTGTGCAATTGCAGTGGCACTCTCTGAAGTCAAAACAAAACTTCTCTTTATGAATTTAAAAACTGTGCTTTTACGTGCATTTCAGCACCAGTGACAGTGATTCCAACATTTATCTCCGAAAAAGATCTCCTAATATTTCTGAGGAGGTAAGTATGTGGAAATTTACTTATCACTGTTTCTCTGTTTCTTTTAAACTCCAAATATTCACATACTGTAAAAGGGCCCACTCTATATATAAAGCTCTGTGATAATACAAAAGCCCTGTGATGTCTAACAATTTTAGTGCCAAAACCAGGCATAGCTGAAAAGCTTTACTGAACCCTCCTAAATACATGGAACTGAACCTTACTGAACCTCGAACAAACTCACAAAGGAGTATCTGATACTACAATTAAATCTATCGTAACTCTGAGGCGTACTTTGTCATAACTGTACAGCTGCAACATTTTGCTTCTCTGAAGCTGCCTTTATTTGCTGCTCCAGTTTCTTTTAGTTTGTGCATTCTCTGTATGTATGCTGGTGTCCTGGTCACAGCCCTGCAGCAATGCTGGGTGTCTCCTGAAGTGCAGTTTTTATGAAAGGTTGGGCTCTTTCCCTCTCTTTCATAGTAGCGGTGTATTATATTATCTCAATAGCAGCAGCTCAACCTGAAAGAATTTTAGCTGCAATCTCAAACTGCATTCTTAACGCCAGGTGTAATTCATACTGGTTTCTTGAGAGCACACTATACAACTGAGCTCTGGATTCTTATTTTTTAATTCGGAAGGGACAGCATCGGCAATCTGGGCACACTGAGCAAGGATGGGAATATGAGTCTTTTCAGCACAAAATAAAATTCGGACCATCTTCAGGTTTTAAAGAAATGCTGCCACCAATGTTCAGTGAAACAGAAGTTTCGCACAGATGCTTTAGTTTTGCAACGCTGTCAGAGCTACTGGAAATATGTATGAATGAGGGGAGGTTTATTCAACTGCGTGAAAGCAGTTGAAAGCAAAAAAAATCTTCTCATTTTACAACTGTTTTCCTTTTCTGTGATTTCACACCTTTTTTACTTTTCTGTGTGTGTACCAGACTGCAGTGGTGGATGTGCCTGCAGCGAAGAAATTTTTAAGCACACTTTCATTTTATTTGAACAAACGTTAGACATACTGTGCATAAAATACACACAGAATTATCATCTTTGCAAGATGCTGAATTTTATTTTTTTAATATAATCTATTCCTGGTTTGCTTAAGGAAACCTATGGTGTAAATGAGCAGAAGATGACAGATATGGGTGAAAATCCATTAATCATCAGGTGAGTCGTTCTTATTCAGATAAAGCCTTTTTCAAGGATTCCATAACTCCTAGGTACTTCTAACAACGTTACAAAGGGAAATGAAAATTAACTGTAATGGTAGAGACTGACTGGGTGCCTTGTGTAACGGCTTGGAGTCCATATTTCCCATGGGTGTAAGATACAAAACTTCTTTATTACTCAGTCTCCCCTTGATTAAAATGCTTTTCCTTGACTTGGGAGGAGAGATTCAGCTGCCTAAGCAAGATTGTGAGCACTTTCACCACACTGTGGATATTTCAGACCAAGAAGAGAGTGGGAGGAGTTCAAATATGAGGCCCTCTGGCATTGATGACTCTTTCCAGGTTTGGAAGACTGTCAAGATGAAGTTTAGTGTGGTCAGTGCTAGGGAGGGACAATACTTCAGTGACGTTCTGGCCTCTGTTAGAGCACCCATGAGTTTTTGTAACTTGTATGTGTTTAGTTTAGACTTAAGGTGACAGATCCTGAACATAGAGCATGTATCCCTTTGGTATGAGGGTCTACATATCTATAAGAAACAAGGATTGCTTTAGGTTTTCCCTCTCAGTCGATACTGAATAGTACCTCCCAGAACCTCCAGTTAAAATGATGGTTGCATTTTGTCATAGTTTAACCCCAGCTGGCAACTAAGCACCACGCAGCTGCTCACTCACACCACCACCCCCTGCAGTGGGATTGGGGGGGAGAATGGAGGGAAAAAAATTTAAAACTCGTGGGTTCTTATAAAGACAGTTTAATAGGACAGCAGAGGAAGAAATAATAACAGAATATACAAAACAAGTGATGCACAATGCAATTGCTTACCATCTGCTGAACGATACCCAGCCTGTCCCCAAGCAGTGACCTCACCCCCTGTCCATGCCCCCCCCTTGCCCCCCAGTTTATATACTGAACATGACATCATGTGGTATGGAATAACCCCAGGTCAGTTTGGGTCAGCTGTCCTGGCTATGCTCCCTCCCAGCTTCTTGTGCATGTCCTCGCCCAGCACACCATGGGAAGCTGAAAAAGTCCTTGACTTAGCACAAACATTACCTAGCAACAACTAAAACATCAGTGTGTTATCAACATCATTCTCATACTAAATCCAGAACTCAGCACTACACCAGCTACTAGGAACAAAATTAACCCTATCCCGGCCAAAACCAGGACATGTTTAAATGCAGAAAACACACGAAATGTTATCAGGATCTAGTGTCTTGGCCTCACACTTCCATTAAAAAAATACATGAGTAGCTGTCACAGTTATGCCTGTTTGCAGACTGCTGATGTTGAGCAAGTTGAGTGCAGTACTCAGGTATATATCCAGTGTAATATCTGAGCAAGCAGGATGCCCCAAGCCAGAAAAAGGACTCATTAAAACAGGCCAAAAAACAGTTTTCTCCAAAAGTAGATCAAAATGAAATCTACCAGAGGATGATTCATATAGTATTATAAAATGAGCGCACCATCTTGTGCCTTTTTAAAGAAGAGCTTTTCCTGTCTTTATGAGTGCTCAGTGGTGCTGGCAGAGTCCATCGGGCCTTGCCCTTAAAAAACGCAGCTGGAAGTTTTCGAAGTTGTAATTTTGGAGTTGTCCTACAAAACCCCAACTGCTAGCTTGTTTCTGGAAGCCTTGGGCTTTTTCTGTTTAATGTTCTGGCATCTGACATGAGAAGCTCTGAAAGCAGATGATTTGGGGAAAGTATATCAAGTCAGATACAGTGTGTAGGTAAAATTGTGACAGTGTGGTATGTGTTGCCCAGAGCTATGTTTACTGTTCTGAATATAAAAGGGCATCTTTTTGACTGATGGAAATCACCTTACATCAAAGGACTGTACTGTAATGGCATGTATTCAGACTACCTGAGAATTTGTCCAGAGTTTTCAGAGGATTAACTGCTATGTACATTGCTATGTACACATGCTCCTAAGGGAACGCAGCGCTAAAGCCCATTATGCACCTCATAGTCTAGCTTGGATTCCAACTGACCAGGCTGAAATGGTTCATTAAACTGTTATCTTTTAGTCCATCCTCTGATCTTTATAGGAAATACTAACAGTGAGGGTTTTTTCTTCTTTTGCTTGCCTCTTACCAAATTCTCTCCTGTTCTTAGGAAGAAAAAGGACTTGGAAGCAAGAGAGACGCCAGCACCAACTCATGAGGTTACGACTGCTGAGCAGCCAGACCTATTCTACTTCATTTTCTTCTGGATGCTGGTCTACTGCCTTTTACTCCTTCCACAGCTTCTTAGCAACAAAATTTAATCTCTGTGAGGTGTGGAATAATAAAGGACGGTGGCTGGATTGCTTTGTGTATCTGCATATGAATATGTTCCTTCAGGTGAAGCACAAATAGAAATGTAGGACCTGGTATTTGTGTTTATTATCAGGTTGTCCTCAATTCCTCTACTGCTGTGCTATGACAGTGTCTGAGCACATTTTATATTATGATAATTGTGTAAATATATATAAAAATGACCTGATTTAGTAGACGCAATTTTGTACATTTGTGCCTTGCTTTATAAGATGCTAAATAAAGCCAGATAATTATCAGTAGAAATATCAACAATTCAGAGCTCTAGTCTTCAAAAATGATTCTTCTGGCTTCATTTACTTACGTAGAGCCTGACAGCTGTGGAAGAGGGGTGGTGTTGACTTGCCCATGAATCTGGCCCATCTGCTAGGGCAAGGCTAGAAATGCTTTTTCACGTTTTCCATGGAATTCTTTGAGAGAGCTGGAGGCAGAGCAGAGCTGCAGGTGGTGAAACATGCTGACCCAAGGAATTGATTACAATTCCAATGGCAATCCACTGGAGCAACAAAATCAGGTCGAGGGTTTACTTGGGTAGGAGAGTTTGGCTTATGGGGATTTCAATTCATTTTTATCCTGCACCTCTTGTTACATTTAATTTGCAGGAATAAATTGCATGTGGAGAAGTGTGAAGAACGTACATGCTAGCTGTCTCTTGGGAAGGATCAAACAGGAAATCTTAGCCCAGAAACTTCTGTAGAGAATACCTGAAGAAATACACTTTTTGTACGTTACTGATGGTGGCCATCTTTTAAAAGATCTTCAAGAAGCTTAATAATTTTATCAGGAACAGATACCATGGTTTTGTTTTTGTTTTTGTTTTTTTTGTTTTTTTAAAAAAAAAGTACCTCACTGCTTCTGAGGCTGCTTCTGCTTCCTTTTCTCTGCTGCTTTTACTTACCAGATCATATGAAGATTTCTCTTTTTTGACGGTGACAAAAAATTATAGGTAACCTAATTTGCTGAGGCTACTGTTAAGGCACAAGCGCATGGTAAAAGGATTATAAATATCCTTTAAGCACCCAAATCAATAAAGAAATGACAGATGTAAAACTAAATACAGAGAAATGCTGACAGCCAGTATTGGCTTTCTAGTGCAACTGAGCAGACTTTGTGGCTTGTCCATAGACACAGTTGAGCCACTTCTGCATCCTGTAAGTTTTGTCCACATCAGTGATCACTTTAGGATATTTGATTTAGGATTTTTGCCAGACAAGATGTACCCATGTGTTACAGGACAAAAGAGAAGTCTTCGGATTAAATTTAATAGCAGTAACTTTTCTCTGTTGACTTTTAGTGAAGTCACTATTTTTCATTGGCACATTTTTAGTTTCATAGTATGCTTTATGAGACTATGTTGTATTGCTGCTTCCACCTGAAAATTCCTAAGGTTGATTGCAATGTGCTTCATAAAATGAGGGGTTTCATAATTTACACTGAGTGAAAGTTACAACACGTAGCCATAAGTTTTACATACTTTGTTTTAGCATAAGGTGTATCTCTGTCCTGGCTTAGTTTTCAGCTGAGCTCATAGTACCTGGGATCAGGACACATCAGAATATGTAACAATTTATTTGCAGGTATTTAAAACCTGTTTGCAGTCATGTTATCTGCTGGGGTAATCCTAACCCTCCATCACACTCCATTCTTCTTTATAGGCTTTTTGTTTCCCTGGGATTTTTCTTCTGAGCTGCAGTTAGAATTCAATAGCAGCAGTTCACGGCAGGAAATCTTAAACATTGAAGATAAAATTCTGAACTTCTTTCAGTCAACACGAAGCTGAAATCTTTCCTGTTCTGTCCTGTTACCACTGACTAGAGCTGGATTCACCCCATGAACCTAAAAATAAGATCCTTTTTGCTTGGTGAGAAACAGATCCAAACTTCCCAACTTAATTCAGTGTAAATCAACATAGGTAAAAAAAATAGTCTTTCATCTTGCTGATGAAAATGTTCAGCATTTTGAGTCATCTGATTTTGTGATGAATGAACCTGTTTGTGCTTGTTGATGAAGACAGTGATACTTTCTTCGAAAAGAAAACCTATATTAGAATTTTTGAAGATGCTTTCTTGAAGTGGGCTAAAATATAACATTGAAGAGTTAGCACTTCTTCTCTGAAAGAATAAAACTTAATACAAGAAACTATATCCTTATCCTGAAAACCAGTGAATACCAGGCTGGGATATGGCAGCTATTTAATAACAGCAAGAAGCAATATGTGCATTAGTTTGCAGTAAAAGTGTTGACAGATATTCATTATGTGCCACTCTTCGTAGGCTCCTTTGGTTTATGACAACTTTTTCTGAGCCTTTGTATCTCACTCTCTGGTTCTTCCATGTTTATTAGTTTTCAGCAGAGATTATCTGGAGTTGGAGTATGGTCTCTTCATAGAACTTTACAGCTGTCAAAGTTCAATCAAGTAAAGTAAGCTCCAGTCTGTCTTCTTCCTCCTAAGAAAATTAATCATAATGAGGAGGTCTTTGGATGTCCCATCTAAACAACGGACACCCATAAAGAATGGAAAAGTGAACGGGAATGCACTGATGCTGGCAACTTTACTACACAGTATTTCCTTCCAAGAGGGAGAAAAAACAGGGTTTTCTTTCTTGCCTCGCACTGATGAACAGTGACTGAAACAGTGAAATGAGCAGTTTAAATGTCAAACAGCATCAAGCAATTTTCTTGATCGTCTCAGTGTTTAAACTGATGTACGCTTTCCAGCCTATCCCATTAACGTGGAGATTGTTTCTTCCATGCAAAACAGATTAAAAAAAATACTAAATTAGTCCATGATACTTGGTACTAGGTTGCTTTCCATATTTGTGTTTGTTTGGTTGTGGTTTTTGTATAACTGCAGCAGTGTGCCTTACTCAGCCACGCCATGGGTGAGAAGATCCAGGGTAAAGAGTTAAGAGTGATTATACTGGTGTGGTCAACTGTGCATGAAAAGCGACTGAGCTCTTCAGGAGTTTTGCCATTACTTGGAACAGCAAAAAATGACATCTGCATAAGCAGCAGCTTCCCCCACTTAAATTGACTTGTAAGCCTGCCTCTCTTCTTCCACAGTGCAAGATCCAGTCCCTCAATGCAAGTGCCCTATTCTGAAAACACTGCTTGTTGTTAGACCTTGTGTCCTATTCTGAGCTTACAGTCTAAAAGCCTGACTGTGGAGCATTCGCTGTGGCAAAGCCTGTTTTGACTTGCTGGCTAGAGGACCGGCTTGAGGTAGTGGAGGGTTTAAAGGCTGGTGGGCAATCTATCACATATCCATTTGCCAACAGATGTGTCCACTGTCTGAAAAAAGGAAGTTTTTCCTGAATTTTCGCCTGGGTTTTTGAAAAATGCTAAGCTTGAACTGACTGCATTTGGTATTTTGATTTAGCAGCAGAATTCATATACACAAGGGTACCGATCTGTTAAGACTCTTTCTAAAACCCGTTGTTATTGAGCAAATGAGTGGGTAGCGGAGTATTGTGAAGTGTAAGTGTCAGGAAGTGCTTGAGGATCACTGCATAAAGGATGGTTGGTGTTCACAAAAGCACCATTAAAGACTGAGAGACAACTGTAATAGGATGGTTCAATATTACTGTAGTCATGTAACTAAACTGCAAAGTGTTTCATTGTGATTTTATAGAAAGTGCAAGGAAAGATATGCTATTAAAGACAGAGCCCTGCTAAACATTTATGGGGCAGATGTCTTAGAGTTGAAGAAATGAGTTAAACAGTCACATAATCTACAAACTGAATTGAATATAGCCTTTGCCAAATTGTAGGAAATGATCAGTGCAAAGACAGGGCAAGCACAGGTTCGGGTAAAAAAATGACAATCACTTTTCAATGCCATGAATATTTTTGATAGATTGAGCTCTAAAATGTATTTTTATTGAGTTTCTAGATTGTAATGAATGTGTCTACAGAATTTTATGCAAAGCTTGAGAGTTCGGCTGTTTTAAAATGATTTTTTTATATAGCAGTGATTATTTTATCTATATATTTAATAGAACTGTAAAACCATTTTAAGAGTACCTGTAAAATTCTATGTATGTGATACGTTTATTTATTAATTATGACTCATGAGAATGAACATTAAGCTATGCATCGGTTGTGTCATCCATTTAAAAACTGGAACCTGCAAACAGGAGAAGAGTTTTTAATGAACAGTAGACTTGAAAAATATGGGAAATGATTGAATACCATTGTGTGATTCTTAAAGCTGCATAGCAATATGTCATTTTGTGATGTTAAACTTTCAGCTAAAGTTGCAAAATATACTGAGTGATTAAGCTACTTTCTTCCATTAAAGCTTCCTGAGGCTGAAATTTCAACATGTTGATATTTGGTGTCTAAACACACTTAAATCCTCTACATCTTCTCGAGACTCTCAGTTTACTCCAGCTCAGTATGACTGTAGCTTCTCTATCCAGCTAGTGCTTCACTGAGTTTACAGGGGTACCATGCAATACCCAGCGGGTTTTCTGCACCAATCCTCACAGAATCAGAGCTTCAGAAGATTAATTTGGCCAGTGTATGTGGTATCACATTCAGCCATCTAACAAGATAATAGTTTAAATAGTGTATTATCACTTACGCTAGCTTTAAGTACTTGGAGTCCCTTCTTGCCAAGCACCAACTTGAATGCATCCAGTGATGTGTTCAGTTCCTCTGCTTCTGTGGAAGTCAATGCAACACATCTGTGTGCTAAGCACACGCTACAGGATCTGGCCCTGAGGGGACTTAAATTGACGTCCATCATAGGCCAGGAAGCAGCTGAAGCCTCTGCATTGCCCTTAGTGCTGGATCCCCTCAAATCCAATGTACACAAACAGTGCCACTGACTTCAGTTAACCCCTCTGTACACATAGCATTTCTTTGCCTAAATTCTGCAGGATCAATCCTTTCTTTCTTTTAGGAAGTTAACGTCTACATCTATTTTTGATTAGGAGAACAGCAGCGGGGAATGAATGGCTGGAAGATGAGGGTGAGGTTACAGGCTGGAATGTGGCTGAGAAAGTTCCCAAACGGCTACAGCAGAAATTTCTTACCCCGCCAAGCGGTCGCCCGCTGTTTTTCATGAAGCTAACAGGTAGGGGATCTGAATGGAGGTAAAAAACCCCTAAGTTTTTGCGCTTCCACATTACGCAGTTTTTTTGTCAGATAAATAACATCAAATTCCCTCCCTCTGCATACTACTGATAACACTAATTTACAGCTGCCCAACTTAGGATTGTTCACCTTCCAGGTTGGTATCTAAACAGGACTTGCAGTATGGCTTGTTCCCACCCACGCCACCCCAAGATCGTGAAGCTGTTCATGCAGGAAGATGGGACACATATGCACATTAAATTATATGGAAAAGTCATATTCTGAATGGGATAGCTTGCTTACTCTGTCCATCGCTTGATGGAACTCTAGAGCTCACAAAGGGTGAAAAATTAACCCATTTATTTTCAAGTGCCATGTCCATTTCAGGGTTATCTTAACTGAAATTGTGCAACATCAGACTATTTATTTCCTCCTCTAAATGTGAGATGTGGAAA